AAAGACTGTGCATGTGTGTGCACAAGCAAGTCACAAGAACTGATACAGCTACTATTTTAGCCTTTCTGCCATATGCTAACATTGCCTTCCAAATAAAATACCAATCTAAATTCTATTTCTTCGCACTGTATTGAATATTAACTTTTCACACTTCTAAGTTTAGATTAATATACAGTTTACCATATGTCATGATTTTATATCTGTATCTCACTATGCACTGTGCAGACTACTTCTTTGGTTCTGCTGCACTTCTAAAACGGTATAACCCTTCCCATTATAAAGGTGCTTGAAAAAAATTTCCTTTACCACGGAAATTTAAAAAATGCTTTCTTATTTGCAGAGCCAGCAGCACTTAAGACAGTAAGTTATCAACAAGAAGTAGTTGGCGATACACTCATGCTGTGACCACGACTGGTATAATAGGCATCAAGCATATTAACTGCATTCATTACTCTGTATCTTTGGTTTGTGCTTTTATAAGCGCGGTAACTCCCCTGACTCAGTCACAAGGCCAGCCTTCCAGGGGATGCTTCAGTCCTTTGGTTTCTTGCAGAGATGGAATTGCCAGGGAAGAAAACAAGGATTGTTAAATTATAGCAGCCTTTCTTTCGATTATCATTTATAAGATAGCAACTTGTTTCAGAATAGGAAAAAATAAAACAAAACCTCATATCCAGAACATCATCAAACCATCAAGAACGCTCTTAGCACACGGTATATGTCTTAAGTCTATTTACAAAGTCCCAGCTGCCACACATACCTGTACTGCACTCTCTCCTATGGCTTGACGAATTTCCCTCAGTGTCTGGTAGTGTTCTAGCAAGTGATCACCACATATAATGTCTACCTGTGAAAGAAAACAAATGTGGTCAAGTTCAACTTACCTTTGGACTAGCAAAACAGTATCTAAGCCTTTTACATTTGATTAGAAGAGTTCAATTTTGAAGTGTTAGACACTAAAGCCATCTTTACCTTTGTTGTCCAAACATATTTAGCATGCATAGCACTACTACACTGCCCTAATGCATCCCATCGTATGCCCTGACCTGAGGGTCACTTCTTGAACAGAGAGGACAGTTTACTGTTTCACTCCCAGTTCAGTGCATCCACTGAAAAAAACTGCTTAGTAATTGCTGTGATGAAGGTAATGGGAATTTAGTTCATGTATTAAAATGACCCCACAAACATCCAGAGTCATTAATCAGTTGCAAAAGAGGGCAACTTGTTTGTGCCACTAATAGAAAATGAGCCATTGCTACCCTCATTTTTATCTTGAGTGAGAAAACATGTGAATAAGTCTGCTTAATGTGACTGTTTGGAAGAAGTGTTTTAATAGAAAAAACAGCTCACTGTATGCCGCTGTCAGCAATTACTTCACACAGTCCTTCAAAATGCAATCAAAAACTATGTGCTGCAAGTGAAGGGCATGCTCAGCAATTCTAAGCAATGTCCTCTACTGCAGCTAAACTGTGTCAATGATGTCTGCAATTCCAGAGGAGGCACTCTTGTTAAGTAACTGCCCACAAAACTAGTAATTTTTTTTGGGGGAAAAAAAATCATAATAAGGTATTCTGAATTCCTTGCCTTGACTATTATGAAGAATAAGCTTCTTTATAAAGTTACTATGAATTTACTGTGCATGATGTAAATTCAGTCTCTAGCATTCCAAATTAGAGCAGCTAACAGCAGCACTGTTTCTCTCTCTACTGCAGCTTGGTTACATTTTCCTTATTTCTAAGTATAGACACGAGAGGGCTCTCACCTGTGAATTACAAATGATGAAACCTCAAAATTAAAGTTAAGACCATTGACAATGAGCTGTACCTCAGCCTTCTGCAAGGAAGACATCCAGGCTTTGCCACTGCAGTAGTCGGGGAGCATACTGCAATATCATTACGTATTCTCTCATACAGCCGCTTCCCACTACAGGGTGCACTCTGTGCTTCAGCTATTCAATTCCCCTGGATTTATGCTCTTCTGCATGCTGACCCACTATCTCTCTCGTTCTTCATTAAAAGATTTAGGAAGATTTATGTCTGTGTTGGCAAACTACACTGCTCCGAGAATCAGGAACACAGGAATTCTACTCCTCAGAGGCTCAAGAAGGGCTGATTTACTTCACCATCTGTACGGTACAGTAATGATGTAAAAGACTGTTCACATTAAGTTGAATCTTAATGTGCAGAAGATGTAAGCTGCCTAGGATTACTTCTCTTAGTTCTAGGAGGAAACCAGCAAGGAAAAACTATTCTGGACATAACATTAAATATTGATTAGATATTGAACCATATATATACACACACGTGTATATATTTAACATCAACATTTTACATATTTAACACAGAATCTGAAAGAAATGTATTTCTTGTTCTTTTTGAATGCTGGTTACAGTTATTTCCGCTGTTTCCCATGCATTCTAGCCTCTAGAGTTATTACTGCAGGAAGACAGACCTGTCTGCTTTGCTTTCCAGTGATGTAAGAGTTTAACTGCCTTTGCTTTAAAAGCTTAGTTTTATAGTTTTTATACCATAAGGCAACAAAAACTCAATCCTGTTCCTACTGAAACATAAATACATTCACATTTTATATATAGTACAGAAATAGAAAATCTAATCTATTTGCCCAATACAGGACACAACGCGACATAGTGACAACTGCTGACAATCTTTCAAAACAGAATCAGAATGCTTGTTCGAAAATATTCCACTGTTGATCCTACTGCTCCAGTTTCAAATGGTAACCATTAAAAGTTCAATGTCTTTTAATAAATGAAAAAGTGTTTTTCACATTCAACGTGTTAAGAGTGCTCTGAATACCAAATGCCTAATCTCCTTGCTCCAGCACCAGAGCCTGAATTTCTGCCTGCTAATTATGTTAGGATTCATTCTATAAGGGCAGAAGAATAAAACATAATGAAAAAAAAAAGCCAGTTCAGTGTACAAATCAGTTGTGAAATGTGTCTCAGAGGAATTCTTGTGCAATACAGGAATTATAGTATTCCATTGCAAAAGAGGCATCAGGAACACAAATGCTATGAATATACTGCTATTTCAATTGACTGGTAAAACTGAAGCCAGCTAATGCTGATAGCCAGCAAGAAAGCAGTAAATATATTTAGACCTTTTGCTGAAAAGAACCATGTAGGTGTAGCTGCTGAATACTCAGTCACATCTGTTAAAATTCTTATTAAACTAAAGTATTCTTTCCATTATACCACTTATTTTCACTAGGTGGCATTATTACTGTCAGAGGTACTTCTCTTAAAGCCATGATAACAGACAACTATAAATTAATACTCACCAAGTAAGATGGAGATAAAAATTAGAAAACTTTCATGTAGGAGGCATCCCACATAAGATTCATCCCAAGGAGTAGATGGGCAAAAATAGAAATTGACCCAGAAAGCAGTAGGCCTCAATCAATAGTTTCTATGCCAACCCATACTATCCATAGAAGGATAAGGAAAACACAAAGTTTTAGAGACTGGCATGAGTATTTGGGCTAGTTATTCAAAGAGCTGGCAAAACTTCCCATTTCCTGGTACCTGGTATTAAAGATATCAGATATTTCTATTCCAGCGTCTAAGACTGGCATAAAGAAACTTCATCAACAACTACACTGCAGGAGCACAGACTTCCTTTCGATCTTTTCCCAGGCTACAGTTTATACACACTTTCAGGAACCACATCTGATTATGGAACATTTCCATTCCAAAAGCTGCATTAATACATTCAGACAACCAAGCTGCAAGTCTTTCAGCAGTCTTGCTCTTGTCCTTACAGAATGAATGGCAAGAAGGAATAATGCTGCTGCAGGATGAGCTCCAAGGCAGTCACACTTTGAAGAACACTTCTCATTTTCTCTCCACTCTTCAGCGGAACATGAACTATACAGATGTGCATCAGATGTCAAAGCCAAGTATTTAATGGATTTCAATAGCCTGTACTTAGCTCAGATCTTATGTTACCCACTTAGCTATTACAGCAATTTGCTATCTGGTTGCTCAAAAATTATTTTCACCACCCACCCCCCTCAACAAATTCCAGCAAGAGTATTTGAAAGAGACACTGTAATTAGAAATATATATAAACAGACAGAGAAAATTAATTGTTGCACAAAGCATAGACATCAAAACAAAGCACCAGAAAGAATAAACTACGAATCCGTCAGCTCAAGTGGCAGATAAAAATAAATGAAGCCTTAACCTTTCGGATAAACTGGGAAATTTGAATCATAATCCCTTTGCGAACTCAAATACACAGGTCTGATAATAATTTGAGGCCTCAGACTAGGAAAAAGAAAAAAAGGCAGTGACTTCAAAACTGTTTTTTAGACTTTAATATATAGTATCACATGAGTCAGATGGCTTATTTCATATTTTCATTAACCTCAATCCAACCCACTTGTGGAGGTCAATGAAGAAGGGCAAATATTCCACACAAGCAAATTAAGTCAAAGAGGTACAAGTACAGTCAGTAGTTCAGGAGAATGGTTAACCTACTTTCTATCACTTGGTCACCAAATCAGCTGTAACAGGGAACAAGTAAAATATACTCAAATAATACTTCTGCAGACTGTCAAACTAAGCTGCTATTCGGTAGGAACTGATTGCATTCACAAAATAACCACACTAGCATCCTCACTAGACAGTTAAGAGTGGGACAAAAAGCAGACAAAGGATCTGACTGTAGAAGAAAGCAGATTTAACATTTCCAGGGCTTGCATAGAAAAGAGCACGAGATTCGAACTGCTAGAACTGCGCCTTACTCCAGAATGGCAAACTGGATACTAGCAGCAATAAAAGTGACTGGGACAACAGCAAGCAACATCTTGAGAAAGGAAGTGAAATATTCAGCTTTTGAGACACAGTAACATTTACCCACTAACAGCGGATGATCTCCTGTTTGGTGAAGTCCAAACTGACAGTAACTAATAGGAGAAAAATTCTCAAATTATCTCTATTACATGTTCACAAGATTGCAAAGTCTGTAAGACATCCAACACACAGGCCTGGCTCGATTTTGAAAGATGAGTAACTGCAGTTTCCATTACAGATGCTCACTGCTCCTGAAAACTGAAATTCTATTGTACTACTTAAGAAGACCAAAACAAACAAACAAATCCTTCTCCTTAAATAAACAACAACTCAATTAAGGCAAGAAGTTGCTCTAGCCTAATTTTGAGGATACTTGCACTTGTTCAGAATATCACGTCACCATCACCTGAAAGCTGCAGGGACTCTCATTGAGAGGAAACTAGCAAATGAAAATACGTGACTTCCTAAAAATGATGAATAATTTATATCTGATTTGCTTTGTCACCACTGAAAAAGTGAGAAGCATGAATAAATACTCATTACTGAGGCACACAGTCATGCTGTATTGTCTCAGTTACTGCTATAAGAAAACACAGCTTTAACTCCAAAGCCAGCACTTAACTTCCACAATTTGCCTATGCACATCAGTATCAGCTTGATTTACCAATAATTGACAGCTTTAAGAACCATTATGGAACTCCTGCACCTTCTCAACTGAATGGCTGCTGAAAGATACTGAAGAACTGAAAACTGGTTTTGACATGCAATTCCTATCAAAATGGCTGAGAAATACAAAGTTAAATTCTTTTGCACCATATTCTGCTCCTTTGAATTCTTATTTGGAGGCACACGCCTACATTTGAATTCATACCTTTCATTTCAACCCATCATCTACAGTATCATTCTTTCTTAACCCTTCTTTGCTTCTTCAACACTCAGTTAAATGTTACTGTTATTCAGCTCCTACCTGTCTCTGCCTCCATATCCTCCCACATTCACACACTTTCCTATTTATATAATTACTTTTATCTTTGAAACAGCAGTATCTTTTTGTTTTGAATTTCATCTGCTGAAATCTTACATGGAACTTTAGAAACTCTATACGAATAATAAAGTATTAGAATGAAAATTTACATATTTCACATGAGTTGGGAGAGTTGTTTCTTGCAGATCATAACATTTCAGCTGTTTAATTCTTTAATCCTTACTGCAGTAAGAAGCCCCGAACATTACTTCTAATGAACCATGGAAATGTCCTATCTGAAGCACAGACGTTACATTGATCACAGTGAACTTTTAAGTGCCACTACAAGTGGCATACCTGACAAGCAGGGTCCAGATCCATTTTTCGTCTGAGAAATTTCTCTACGTGTCCAATTGTTGCCTCCCCCGAAACACGGACAAACTTCTTTTCCAAAGGCTGCAAAGAATCAATGAAAGATCTTAAGACAATACATGTTTTCAGCCATCATCCCTCATAAACCCCAAACCCAGTAACAGAGGAAGACAGCTTAAATTTCTGAACCATCCTCTGATCTACTTTCAGATTACCCCATAGAGAAAGGACTAAGAATGTATTAAGACTCCAGGTTCAAACTTGCTGCTGTTTAGAACAACACTTAAAAATAACTAACTACCGACTTCAGCCCTATTTCACTATTGAAGTACTGGAGAATGGTATTTGCTATTAATTCTGCATAGAAAATAGTATTACACAGCATTTAAAGAACCTTTCCCTTCACAAGCATTTACACATCAGAAGCACATGAATTATTTCCTGAAGTTTCCTTATTTTTGCCAAATGAGGATTGTGTACCAATCACGATTCAGATAAACCATGTCATTTTATAATGCAAGGAGTTTAACTCCTTTAGCATTTTAGAAGAAGTATGGCTTGGACTGGAATTGACTTAATAGTCCATGAAATTCCAGATTCAATTAAAATATACTACTAAGCAGAACACAAGGGCAAGACTGGTCTGAAATCTTTTTGTATAATTTCTAAATACTTTCACAGCAAGGACTGCAACGACAAGACATTTGTTATGCTAGCTTCAAAAATCTTAATGGGTTTCTCTTCTACAGATTAAATTTTGAACAGCTGACTGGTATTATGGGCAGCGAAGGGAAGAGGCACAAAGACAGAGCAGATGACTGCATTCAGTGTGATAAATGGATTACCTTTTGTGTCAATTAATTGGATTTTTATGTTGACTTCTGAACAGCTGTGATTTACTATCCAGGTTTATCATATTCTTTCAATTTGAAAGAAGGGCCAGAGGGTCACAGACTACCCTTGAATCCAATCACAAATTTAAACACGTATCCATGATAACTCTGGTTTTGGAACAACAGTTTGATTTATTCATGTACAAGAGCTAGAAATGCCAGTCAGACCTGATTTAAGGAACCATGCTGCTGCAAGCCTGATGATGCTGAATGCCTGCCGCATGTATAAATCACAGTTTATGGCCACAGACCCTATGAACCTGTTCTCCTTCCCATCCCCACTAAAAAAAAAAGAGGTTGAAAATCCTTTATATATGAAGTTTGATACCTAGTTCCGAAAAATAAGACAGATAAACAAGTAACTGAGGACAGAGCAATGCTAAGATGCTAAACTGGAGTAAATAGGTATGTTTTGCAAGAAGTGGAAAGAGGATGTGGAATGTTGATGAGTAAACCTCTTGAAGTGGAATTAAAAAAAGCATGAAGATATGAAGCACAGCGAAGAAAATAAGGATAGAAAGGAAGAAGAGAGTGAAACGAGGGGTTAACATACATCAAAGAATTTCAAAATGCTGTAGAAAAATACCAATTTAAAGATGCGGTATTTCTTCAAGCTCACATAGATGATAAAAATCTAAAAATGTACATAAGATGAGTGGCACTTCAGTGGATGGCTAGTAGGATTATTTGCAGCACAGAACTATTTATGGCGAGTAATGGTGAGCAGCCTTTCATCTTCAGTACCCTCAGAACACTAGAGTTAAAGTGAGCAGGAATATTTATGGATTAAAAGGGAAAAAAAACCCCACAAAAAACACTTGCACACACAAAAAAGGTATCTTTCCTGAATCACAAACACTCCTTAATGGTGTTTGTGCCAAGTATCTTTTTTAAAAGGCCAAACTACTTGCGTTGCAATTACATGTTTCAGAGGAAATGTGTGTCTGACACAAATTTTAGTATTATAACACGTAAGTTAATACAATGGTTGAACTGCCCTACAGTCATTCTTGTGAGGCCCAAAACGAACAGGATAAAAAAAACAAAGCAGAAAGAAGGGCAAATATGACACAAGAAGGACGGGAGTGATACAAGGACAAGAAGATTAAAAACAAAAGTGTGAAATGTAAGGGTAAAAAGAAGAAAAAAACACTGAGTGGGTGCAGGGGTGTAACAGATGAATAAAATCGGAGACGCTTCCAGGAACATTTCCCCCCTTCTACAGATAAATTTTGTTTTAGGAAACTATACTCACATTTCAACTCCTTCTGAAAATTCTTATTTCTGTATTTGAAAGTTTAAAACTGTCTCCTAAGCCTTGCCATAACAAACGTAATTACTATTAAAAATAGTAGTAATAACTGCAATAATTTCATAGCAGTTCAGATTTGTGCCTGACAAGATACTGATATCAACTCAGCTGAAAACATGAAGGAAATTAGTAAAATGGTACAATCAGAACAATTCATACCAACGTGCTTTTTTCTCAGATTCTTCAGCAGTAAAATTTTCATGCTAACTGTATCATTTAGGTGTCTCTTACATCCTATTATTCTGTGCTGTTTCATTTTTGAGTCCTACAATTCCAATACAATGAAAGATTAAATGCAACACATACTGAGTAATTTTAAATTGCATCTCCTTCTTGCCCTCAAAGAGTCTTGTTTTCTAAATGCTCTGTTAAAATAGTGGAATGACACGTTCTGGGTATCTCTAACTATAGCATATGAAATCACGAAGGCAACAAACTATGTGCAGCTTCTCTGTGAATTTCTACTGAGGTGGATCAGTTAAGAATATCTGTATTGAAAAAAGAGCCATATTCTTTAACAAGGTTTGGGAGTGCTATTTCTTGTTTAGCAGAACAGCCGCCATTCAAACAAACGGTATTAGGGCAGGGATGGAGAAAAGGGCGTTTTCTTCTTGCTAAGGAAGTGTACTGTGTTGTCTAGATAGTTTGTGTAATTTTTAAAATATGTTTAAGCACATAGCAATTTACTATACTATTGTTACACCTCAGGCTATGCTTCCTTTGAATAATGTGTGCAAGCTTTCCACTACAATTAAAGAATCATCTTCAAAAAGCAATTGTGCTGGTTTTGGTGGGGATAGTTAATTTTCTTCAGAGTAGCTTGTATGTGGCTATGTTTTGGATTTGTGCTGAAAACAGCACTGATAACACAGGGATGTTTTTGTTATTGCTGAGCAGTGTTTACACAGAGTCAAGGCCTTTTCTGCTTCCTGCAGTGCCCTGCCAATGAGTAGGCTGGGGGTGCGCAAGATGCTGGGAGGGGTCACAGCTGTGGGATAGCTGTCCCCATCTGCCCAAAAGGATATTCCAAACCATATGATATCATGCTGAGCAATAAAAATCTGGGGAAAGAAGAAGGAAGCGAGGATGTTCATAGTGACAGTGTTTTGTCTTCCAAAGTAACAGTTATGTGTGATGGAGCCCTGCTTTTCTGGAGACAGGAATTAGTGAGTGAATTCCTTGTCTCTCTTTGGTTGCGCGCATGGCATTTTCTTTACCTCAACCCTTCAATCCCTCAACCTTTCACCCTTTCAATTCTCTCCCTCATCCTGTTGTGGGGAGTGAGCAAGTGGCTGTGTGGTGCTTAGTTGCTGGCTAGGGCTGCACCACAACAACATTATTTTAGTATTTTAGAGAATGGCTACATCTTTGTTTAGGATTCCAATAAAAGCCACAGTAGTGCACCTTTTGGAGAGATGCAAGAATAAGTAGCTAGAATCACCCAGGTGAAGTTTCATCAGTATTCCCATTCTCTCACTAAAATTTTCATTATGTTGCCTCAGAAACATTATTTTCTTGTTCTGTGATGCTGCACAATAATAAGTTTGAAAGCATACAGTAATCCAAGGTTGGTTATTACTATGCTGATGAAAGTTCAGGCTGCACTCAGCGTAAGAGAAACAAGCTAAATTAAATGCATTCAGGTTATGTATATTTCTGAAGTAAATCATAAAAGAAAAATTTAAATCACATCTGCACCTTAAAATTCCCTGTGCCTTCGTTAGCTCTGAAAAACAAGAGAAAAGTAAACACAATCAATATTGCCAACGTCAACAGTTATTAACAACCTCAACTCTTTATCGTAATAGTGACTTATTGGTTTAGTAGTATGGCATATCAAGTTCATTTTCTGAATCAGGCTCTTCCTTCCACTAAAATCTAATACAATAAATAATACTAGACTGAATTTATCTATCTTATTCTCCTACCCTTTATTTGGTACTCCATTTTTCTTATGAATGCAGCTATTTATCACATTAAGTTTGTCTACGTGAAACGGAAAAAAAAACCAATACAGTCTAAAGCCATTTTTAAATGCAACATAACATTAATTTTCACAGGAATAAGGTGCAGTATCAATGCTCCTAAAGCATCCATACTACATCATCCTTGGTATTTGGAACTTTAACAGGCAGTACCTAAGAAGTTGCTGACAGAACATGCTCAACCACCAAAGAGGCTTTCTGGACCAACTGTTGGCTTTCCAGACTGTTTATATCACAGGATTAATGCTAATGCTATCCAGGAACTCAGGGAAGCAGCAGGTGTTTCTCTGGAAGGGTAAATGCACACAAAGGTGGCAAATGACCAAATTCCCAGCTGGCTTCAACGGAGGTTCACTGATTTCCAGCCTAAGCATACAATCTATTACCAATCATCTATACTCCACACCTCCATCTTGTAGTGCAATGTATAAATTTCTCAAATAATTAAGCCAAATTAATGATATTTCACTATTCCGGCATTGCATGAACAAGTATGCACATATGAGAGAGGAAAAAATGCAATATTGCCTTGCACTGGAGAGGGCAAAAACTAAACACCACTACAAATCGACTATACTTTACTCACCATTTGAGACAGCAAATAAATGTATTTGTATGCTTGTGCAAACCACACATTAGCATGGCACTTCACAGTACTGTCACGGAGTGTCTCTACCTCTACATATGTACCAGTTATCAGAGTGAAGCAAAACTATCATCAAATTCTGCCACTGAAATGAAATTTAAAGTTACTAAGAAACAAACATAGAAAAGCTTTACCACTACAGCTGTCATTTTCTTTGATACAGTTGAACAGCCACAAGAAAGCAGATAATATACTCTAAAAATACAATAGAGACAATCAGGCTTTCAAAGTAACAATTTCTGCTGGCTGGTCCAATCTACTCCAAGTTCCCCTTATCCAAAGAGCTTGCTTAATTTCTTATTGCCAAGAAAAGCTCTTTGTTTTTGACCCTTGAAGGGAAAACATATTAACCCTTAAACATATGAAGTATAAAAGATCATAGAAGACTAAAAGTCACTAAAATAAAATGCAAAGTAGATGCTGTTAAGCCATCATCCTTTTTCTGTTAGAAACATTCTGTTCTTCCATATAAGTAACAAAACAGTGGACAATTTCACATAGTACAGATGATATTTGCACAGTATTAACTGCTTTGCTGCCAACACTGAAACGGAAGCTTGAAATAAAACTATCAGAAAAACAAATATGCCACCACAGATTCAAAAGTCATTTTGTTTCACAGACAGGCAGATACATGTTTACTAGTTTTGAGGTCTAAGTTGCCTGACATCTTCCTCTTGCTCTGAAAAAAGAAAAATGTACCTGCTAAGAATCACAGGGTGAGGGCAGAAGTAACCACACTTTCTAAAACAAAGTACTTTCACCACAGTGCGTTCAAACTGTATCAAATGCTGCAGCCAAGAAAATCTAAGGAAGCTTTCCTCTGGAGTGTCACCAAGTGTTCCAACCTGAAAGGGACATCCTTGGAACTAAAATCCAATTCCCATTTTAAAAGTCATTATACAGTGAAATTATCATTGAGAAAGACACAGGGCTGCTGGTACAAAAGCATACTCCTGTCCCCATTCACTCCACACACTCCCTCTGCCACCTGCTGGGCCAACACAGCAGTGGCCAGTACACATCACAGGTCCCAGAACGATCATCCTCCAAACTCCTACCTAGATGCTGACTTAATGAGGTACAGTCACAGCCAAGGTAACAAAATTACTGCCTATTTTCTTAACCCAACATAAATGCAGGGTAAATAGCATTACATTTATTCTTTTCTACTGTGATTTTAGTCAAACAATTTTACCTTATGTCTGTATTTATCCACTGAATCACACTTTACCCAATGGGGTAAAAGGCATGCCTAAGCACCAGGTCACTGGGACCTTGTACTAATTACATCATGTGTTTTATACCACATTCATTAAAGGAAAAGAAAAAGGCTTTTTAAGTACAATTAAAAACTAAATTTAAATTTTGAGTGTACAATACATAATGATCAGCTATATAATGTATTTGCTCTCCTCTCCTGTTCACACACGGCTCTTGGCTTTATTTATTACAAACCTGCTCTTAATGCAAAAGCATTCATTTTCTCAGTGGCATTTCTTCAACACATCGATATATTTCCATACCATTCTACTCAGCAGAATGGCAGCATAATACCTTGTTTAAAAAGACCCTGACACAGACTGTGTTGAAAAGTAACCAAGAACTGCAAGTGCCCAATTTGGGACATCCAAGATTGGATTTGTCTGCAGAACACTCAATACTGCAGTTTTAGTCATGACTCCCACTGCTTTCAGCTGTGCTTCTGAGCATTCAGCACTTCTGCAACTCAGGCACTAAGAAAATTAACACTAAAATTAAAGTCAGGTATGTGGATTCACAAGGACATTCTGTAGCACAGTCAGGCACTGCTCCCTAGAGCCTCTTAAGACTTTCTCTTTTCTTCCTGCAGCCCCACTACTCATTCATTTAGGGACATAAAGCAGCCATTTGATAGGTAACAGACAAATCAAACCAGCAAAAAAACCCCAACCAAACAAAACCAAACCACCACCTACCTGACCAAAATTTACCCATGGAGGAAATTTGTTCTGTACTCTAAATAAAGTGAGACACAGTGGAGACACTGGTCATGGCATACAAAAAGACCAGGACACGATGCCCACAAAGAGTGCGGCTGAATTAAGACGGTATGCGTTGCTGCCAGAATTTCCCAATTTCCGAGAGCTTGATTCTACATCATTTATGTAATAAGTTTGCTATGATTACACACTGGAGTTCTCTGAACATTTTGTTCAAAGTCAAGCCAAAAGCAGACACAATCTGGGTAAGAGTTGCACGAGAGTCAAGCCGCTTCCACCTCACAACTGGGGCCCTGCACTGTGTGGTGCTAGCAGAGCAGTTACAGCTTTCAATTCTTTCTCAATTACGCTCTCTCAGTCAATAACATATAAAACTGCATATCATCAAAGCAATACAATTTCTCCTTCTTGTGTTCTGAAAGCAACACAAATTCAAGTGCTTGTGCTGGATTTCCCTCTCACAATCCATGGCTAAAGGTGGCTCTTCACATAAAAGATTATAATTCATTAAAGTCTGGGAAACTGTCAAGCAAAGGTAGTAGTGGACCACATTATTACCCCCAGCTATAACATTTAGAGGAACACTACTCTTGCTGCTCAGGTTGTAGTCGCAGTCCCTGAGTTACATGAGCAAGTCCTAGCGCAGTCAGCATTAATGGTACTGCCACCTACTGGCAATAAGGAAGTGTAAGAGACAGGTATTTCATTCAGTTTACTGAGACTACACTACTTTGTTAAAAGTAAAATAAACATATGTAAGCTTTAAAACTACACTTTTTAGGAAGTTATTTTCATAGGAAGCCACCTTACACATTTAATCATCTGCATCATCTAGCTATGTGGAGTTGTCTGTCAGTATTGCACTGTAAGTTAAAACCAGCTCCCCGCTTTGATACTCGAGATGAAGGAAATGCACATTCAATGAAAACTAAGAGCCAGTAATGGTCCAACAGACACAAGAAGCACCCTCACATCAGCCACTTGCTCTTACATTTGCTCACAACTCACCCAATGAACTCCAGAAGTATGGAGATGTCAAGTTCTGGTGGGATCCGGAACACGGAGCCCAGAACTTTTCGAGGTCTTCCTCTGCTCACTGGAACTGGCTGTGGGACAGCTAAAATATTCAAATAGCCAAAATGCAAACACAACTTGAAATCAAAGCAACATACGACACTAACATGCGCCAAGCAAAACAGATGAGATCACAAGGAAACCGAGTCCATGCAATTCATCCTGTTATTTTTTATTACTAAATCAGCTCTTAATACATTTCATGCTGCGTATCTGAACCAGCATTTTATTAGCTTTCAGCATGGCACTTCTCCAAACAGCTGTTTATTTGATAGTAGTACAAGAAATAATTAGAATAATCCCTCATCTGTCACACTTTGAAGTTCTTATTTTTACTCCTTTGTAATTATTTATTAAGGGCTAGAAAATAAAATTAATGCATATTTTATACATATTTCCTGGTTGTAGGCGAAATATAATCTGTTTTTAAAAATCCAACCACAATTTGGGTTTAAGTGCTGCCAGTTACATCTACTTTTGTAATCTGAGAACTGACAAGGTACAGTAATCAGAAAACCAAGAATCCTGTATTTCCAGTACCACATATCTTCCTCAGTTGTTACCTAATATTTCAAGGAAAGCCCTTAAGAATAAATGGTATAGTAAGTATTTCCTTAACAGTGTCCTCTAAAATTATTACAGCTCACCTGGTTTGGGCACTTCTAATCCTCTTTCTTTATAGAAGTCATGCATTTGCTTTTTCTCTTCTGAAAAAAAACCAAACCAAAACACAATACAGAACAGATTGGAATGTCACTTCAGATGCTGAGAATAGCCATACAGTTTCCAACGGTCAGAGAAGTAAAAACTTCCTAAGTTCCTACAGACCTTCACCGTCACTAGTATTCCATACAAGGCCGGGACACTTATGATACCCAGACTAAGGGTTTGCTAGTAAAAACTGGAAAGAAATCGGAGAAACTGGCCATAGATTATACTGAAATAGCTGCAAAAACTAGTATCCTCCTGGCTATCATGAACATTTTTATACCATCTCCAGTCCATATGTATCCACTAGCTGTGTATATTTCACTCAGACCACCCAGGTGGACTGTGCAGATTCACTGGTCCCAAAGTTCAAGATAAATGACGTGAGACAGTGAACATGTCTAAAATCCGAAAAATAAATGTGTCAGTGAGGCAAAAATGAAAGCATTTGAGAGAATCAGTCTTAGTAACTTTTTTTTCCATCTAAGCCAAGTGAATTTATTAGATGGAATGATATTTTCTGTACTTATACAAAAATGAGGCATGACTATTAAATGGTACTTGGATGTTATTCTGGATACAAAGACACCCATGTTTCATGAGACAGGTTACGTACCACTATCCATAAGATAAAGCGGCCAGAAAGATGCCAGTTGTCACAGCTAATTCATTAAGATTTACATACAAAATTATTTTAAAGAGTCTAGAGTAGAAATGAGGCTTTGAATTACTCTGTTTTCTGTCCAGTCTTTTCAAACTCTAGATGGTAATAAAATAAAGGACTTACTCTCTTCCAAATTGACAACTAATTTATAGACTATGTCTTGCAGTTGTCGGTCCAGTCTATTAAGAAGAGAAAAAAATGAAATTGTCTTTGGTACAATACAAAATGGTTTTCATTAAATTAAAAAAAAAACAACACATCAAATACACTGCTGAAATGTGAAATACATAAAGAGAAGGGGGACAGAGCAGCAACTGCTTATCACTCTAAATTTGTGTCGTGACAGCAGAGCTCCAGCAGAAGAACCCATGTAAAGTTAAAAGTACCACCTTTCAAGAATTTAGGAACAGTTCAAGAAAATAAAGTTCAACTTTCAGAGTTAAGTTAGTAAGCATATTATGCCAACAAAGCTTTGTCTAAAAGGAAATCAAAGCAAATAGTTAAGAACTCATATCACCTGTAACACTGAGCAAATGCATAAAAATACCCAGGGTGGCAGGTAATAAACTATTCTTACCTTCCCTCTTGAGATGAAACCCATATAGACAAAGAACACAATGCATTACTTGTAACTGTTCCCTCATTTGAAATAGGAAAGCATTACAAGTCCATAAAACAAAACATTTAAAAGCAAGCAGCAAAACTTGAAAAAAATAAACCCATAAAAATGACACGAACTTTTTACCTGATATTATAAAGGGGCTGTGTCTGATGTACGACAATATTGCATTTTGGACATCTGTTGCTATAGTAGAAGTGTCTCACTATGCAGCTTTTACAAACTGTGAAGAAAAGAAACCCCACAGAAGTCACATGTCCATTACACAATACCATCTGTTTAAGTAAGAGGAGCACTTACACTCAGACCTCTCAAATAACATTTGTCAGAGACAAAATTAAGCACTTCGTTCAGCTTTCAAACTCAAGTAAACAGCAACTCTCTGCCTGTACAGGATACACCATCACTGAATATTCAATTAGGATTATTTGTAAGATTATTCCAACTGACGCAAAGGTAGGTGTTCAATGTTATAACTGTGTTACCCAGAACAAGAGTAAAGCTAGGACAACAGAATATTGACTGCTGCAGGAAAAAGGTTTGCTGAAAAGCACCTTACTAAGAGTTTCAGTAGAAGAATCAAAGTAAGAAAGTAATAATTCTGCCATTTTCATTGTATTTTATATGTACTTCAGAAATGTGGAAAGGAAAGCTAATGAGTAGAAATACCTAGACTAAATAACCTACTATCAAATCAGCTCCGTATCAGCCTGAACACAATAAACTTGTTCACAACATTTCCCACGAAACTTCTAAGAGAGCATCACAGTTGCAATTGCAACATTATGCTGTCCTTATTAACAGTTGTGCATTTTTCTAAATTACAAACTGCACTGAATATTGCATGGTATGTATCAAACTAGTAAGCAGTGCCCTATAAGAGAGGAAAAAAAAACAAGAGAAGAAAAAACCAGAAGTTTTCCCTCTATGCAATATTAGCAGCTGGAAGGACTAGGAAGTCTTGGATTTAGGTAGGAACATAGAATCATAGAGTCAGCTTCATAGAAAGGGTTTTATTAGCTTTGAGAGAAAATAGTTCTGTCAGCAATGGAAAATGTTTCAGATGTCTCTGAAACACAACACAAGGATTGAGAGGAAAACCAAGACAAGAGCACTCAGTTTTTCATTATCCATCTATTTCTATTGAACAGATTATAGACTGTTTCATGGCTGCATATAACCATTTCTGAATCTGAACTGGTACTTCCACACAGTTGCTTACTGAGTTTTGTGAATTTACAAGCTGTTATCAAGAACAGTTTAGTAAACTCTCCAGTCCATTATAAGCAAAGCCACTCAACTTTCTTTTCTCATTTATATAGTCAAATTCCTAAAGCCTACTTTAAAAAATAAAGTATGTAGTAGCTCTGGTTTTGTTTTATTTGGGCTTTATCTTTCTCTACACCTTCTTCCTCCTTAACCTGGGAAACTAAGCTGACTTCATGACTGATTTTGTTATTTGAAGATGCTTAAGATATCCACAAATATATTTTCCTTAAGGAACAGAATAAACACAACACGCGTTCACTTCTAACAGTGAATTATCTTTGAGAAGCCAGTACATCTTAACAGCCGATTTTTGTTTGAATTTGCAACTAAACTCTCAGAATGACAATCCTGATACTTACAGGTGTGCAGACATTCTGTAATAGTTGTAGCATCAATGAAGTAACCTTTGCAGATGGAACACAGGATGTAAGGGGTCAATTCTGCGAGGTTTATCATACGCTACAAACAAAAACAGTTTGTAAGAGCTTGAATACCCATGCTAAGTCATCAAATTTCCTCACTGCAGCTTCCAAAATATCACAGCTTAAGCCGTGAAAAAATCCTGGATCAGCACACTACAGAAATAGGTTTTCTTAACAGGTCAATCATTCCTCATACACAGCTCTTTCCTAACGACTTTCACCTAGTTTTCTGAAATGACCATTTTGTGAATGGCAATTCATTTCATGAAACACATCTGATCAGCAACCTATAAACAACCGTTTTAGGAAAAGTTCTTTTGGATAAACTCTTTAACAGAACATCAAATATTGAAGCGGATACTGGTAGCAAATAATATAATTATTTGAAAAATGCCCCAGTGTTGGCGCCCCAAATCAAGGTACATAACTAGTGCCGTCTTTTGTTTTTGACACACAGATAGGGATTATACAAATACCTATTGAAACAAAGACCGAATATTACACTGCTCTGAATTCTCACTAAGAACCACATTTATCAGGAACATATACAAGCAGTTTCGCAACAGTTTTCCTGTTGAAAGGCTACTATTAAAAAAAAGAGCCGATTTCTTCTATAGCAATGATCTGAGATGTCTCTGAAAGAGTTAATGCATTAGATTTTTATGTTCCATTTCCTCTTGTCTCAAAGTGAGACTAAGGGGCCTTCTTTCCCTCAATGACACCATTCATTTCACCCACATGCCACCGTTTACCATCCTCTCAGCTATGCCAAGAGTTTGGAAGGGACTGTTGTAAGAGACAGATAAAAGGAACTTGCGTAACAAAAAAAGCCTATTACCATATCGCTTACGCTACCTAAGCAGAGATCCAGACTCACACCTGAAAGTTTTCCTAAGTACCCAAGAGCGTGTAAGTTGAAGTCCACCACTTACAGGACCTGTCTGAAAACCGCGGTCTTTTGCAGGCACCAGGCCTCACCTGAAGACGCTGCGTTTCGCACGCAGCAGCCTCCCCACGGCAGGGCAAGCTGCCCGCCCTGCCACCTCCTGCCCTCCTGACGCTCACACCCCCTCAGCTGCCCGTGCGGTGTCGTGCCCTGCTCCGGTCGAGGCCATTCCCCCTCCCGCCA